ATCACTGTGTCTGGGCCTGTCCCTCTGACCCTGTATTCTCCCTCCTTCTTTCGTGCCAGCACCTCAGGGTCTCGTGGACACATTCCTCTCTGCTCGTGCGGCAGCCTCTTGGAGGGATTCACACAGAAGCCTTCACAACACCCCTCAGGAGATGCTTTAAGGGTTGTGTGTCCCTCATTTCCCAATGATGTCAGCCTGCACTAGCTTCACTCATTGATTAAAACAATTGCTCCTTTGTGCCCTTAGCTTCACCAGCCCCTTCTGGGGGCAGCCATTGGTCTGGCCAGTGCCATTTCATCTCTGACAGTTTAATGATGAGCCTGTGAACAAAGATCACACAACTAATCCACATCTGGGCTCAGATGATTTGTAGTTATTGTCTCAGACCATTGGTCCATTTGGGCTTGTGTCCTGCCTCCAGTTGCAACTAGGATCGGATGCTTCAGGGGAAGGAGAAAAAAAACCCAGATAGTCCATTCAGCCAGTTGTGAATTGGGGTGGAAAATCCTTCCTTACCACAGCAGAAAATCAGCTGAAGCTCTGAAGTATGAAACTGGATTCCCCTAATTATCTTACCAACGTGGATACAAGTGTGAACGTTGTGTGGAGAAAACTAAGATGTGGACATGGGAGATAGAGGAAGGAGAGGGATGGAGGAAGAGTGTATTGTCTCTGGGAAATGTTTGTGAGTTTGTTCTATTTACTCTGCGAGTCCCTCAGGTCAGGGAAGCAGGTTATCCATGTTCTGTGAATGGCAGTGCTGGTAAAAATACTGTCCCTAGCTCTGTACATGTGCCTTGTATTTTAGAAAACCCAGATAAATCAAGTCCCTGTCACAAAGAACTTACACGACCAAATAGCACAAGATAAACACTCTGACTTCCTGCTTCTCTGTGAGCTGTGGAGGCCTGGCTGGTTTTTCAAACTGCTCCGAGAGGCTTTGGGACCTTTGCTAACGGGCTCAGGTCTTTTGCTGCAGCGCTCTGCCTTCCCTCCCATTCTGCCTCTCTGTAGGCTGGAGATGCTTGCGCATTGTGAGACCCGTGGAGAGAAGTTTCATTATTACTGGAGCTCTGCTGTGTTTCATATGATTGTGCAGCTACAGCCTTGACTGTAGAATGTGGTTGTGATGCACTACCCCTGGGTGCCACCTGGAACTGGGGTACCACTGAGCCCTCTGACCCGCTTGCCTGGGCTCCTTCTCACACTGTGCTGCTGTGACAAGCTGCAAAGCTCTCCAAGCCTGCTCTTTCGCCAGCATTCACACAGGTAGGGACACACCCAGTTCCAGTCACATGCTGGCTCTCTAACCTCCAGCCCCCAGCCTAGGACCCCAGAGCAGTACCATCCTGCCCTGGTCAAATCTGGCCAGTATATGGGTTTAATACCTGGTCCACCTCTCCCTCACTGTGAAGAGGACCATGCGCACTTGTGGTAACCAAGCTGAGATTTTCCCCAGACACCTTAGTCAAACACACACTGGTTTGGATTAAAACATAAAATAAGTTTATTAACTACAAAAGGATAAATTTTAAGTGATTATAAGTGATAGCAAAGAGATCAAAGCAGATTACCTAGTAAATAAACAAAACCGCAAACTGAATTTAACATACTAGATAGGCAGGATATGAATTGGCAGATTCTCACTCTGAGTGATAAACAGGCTGGCAGATTCTTAAGGCACAAGCTGCCTTGGCTTTGCAGCTTGGGTTTCCCACGTTTTCATACACAGGCTAGTAATCCCTTTAGCCTGAGACCATCACTTCCCCCAGTTCAGTCTTTATTCCTCAGGTGTTTCCAGGTGTGTTGTTGTAGGGAGAGTGAGGTACCATCATGATGTCATTCCCCCTTTTATATCTTCTTCCTCCTTGCTGGAAAGCTCTTCTGCTATGACCTGGGTCAAACAGTTCCCACTGTGTAGTGCTCTCTATGAGAGGTTTCTATTGTACATAGTTCCTGGGGTAATCCTTGTGCCTGTGTGCATTTCCTCAACGAGCCATTAACATTGTTTGGCCTTTTTACTGTTGTACCTGAAAGGCTGCTTGTGGGTATTATCAACCTCACAATGTGTTTCAGTAACACATTCATAGCCAAACTTCATAGGCGAAAGCACATACGATACAACGAGCTATTAATGTCTAGCAGATCAAGACTTTTAGAATGATACCTCACAAGGCATAGTTTGTACAAAACATACCCTAATTACATGACAGTGGTGAATATTGGGATGCCAAGGTGTCACAGTGACATTTGGCCTAAATTGCACCAAGTTCAGTGGTGCTGCTGTGGAGGGCCCATGGCACCTCTGTACAGTAGCCAGGGGTCCAACGTTGCATTTTCTGCCTGTGCCTTGTAGCTGGCCACTGCTCTCCAGCTTTCCCCACAAGGGGAGTTAGTGGGATTATGGTGCTTACTCCCTGCACTGTTCCAGGGAGCTAGGCAGCAGGAGGTAGGGGAGACACAGAGGGAGTCCACCTTGCAGCCAGGGAATGAGGAGAGCCTGGGGTGTAGGCTGTGGGAGAAGAATGCCTGGACAACAAGCAAAGAGACCAGAGAGATGAGTTGCAGAATCCCTCTCCCTTTCTGAGCTTGGAAACTATAGCAACAGCCGGATCCAGGACAAGTGGAATAATGCCCCTGGAGAACATGGCAGGAGACAGATGCAGGGATGGGGCTGGGCCCCTGGAGGTCATGGGGATCCTGTTCATTACTGAAGATATTCATGAATGAAGTTTACACCTAGGGGTATTTTTGACCCTGGCCCATCATGGAAAATACTCATGGACCAAAAGCCCCTCAGTGAATATTTCTTGCAGTGATTATTTCTGACACTGGATTTCTTTGCTCTGTTCTCCCAGCCGCCAAGCTCCTCTCCCTGACTTCACAGGCCTTGTCTGGTCCCTCCCTTGCTGGTTTATTACAATTGCTCTCAGTATTAGTACATTTCCCCCATGTCTCAGCTAAGTGTTTGTCTCCTTAACTTCAAGACATTGCTTCTGATTCTGCCACCATGCAAGGCTGTGAGAAATCCCCATTCTCACTTATACTGTTCCCTGGCAGACACTTACAAACAACATCCTATCCCCTCACACCCTGGGCCTTTTCTCGCCTAAGTTACATAGATTTAGCACCCTTAGGACCCAATCCAAAATGCACTGGAGTCAACAGAAACAATTCCTTTGACTTCAGTGAGCTTTGGATCAGACCCTTAGTTCCCAAATCATGTCTCTTATTTTCTCTCAAGCAGCATCAATTCAGCAAATTCCTGGATCCAAAGACCTCCAAGCTCTGGGGAGGGTTGGAATATGAACCAGGGTCTGGCTTGGAATATCAGAGCTCTTCCTCCTCTCAACCATCCCCTGTAATGGATCAAACCCAAACCTGAGATCCAGACACTGGGGCCTTTGAACTCTGGATCTGAATTTAGCACCTCAGCCCTGTCTCTATCACGCAAACAGGCAGAGGGAGTGAGCACTGAGCAGTTGGGAATGGGCAGCCATCCCCATTAACCCATGCTAAGTACTGTCCTGAGACTCATTGCACTTACCTATTGGAAGATCAGGTGCTTTGCTGACAGCTCGCACCGCCTTGCTCTGTTGTTATCACTGTATCAATTAGACATGGGCCTGAACCAAAACCTTGGAACCCAGCACCCCCATTCTTTGGGGTCAAAATCCTGGTTGGGATCCAAATCTTTTTGCTCAGGCCCATCTCTATCAGTGACAGAACATGGCTGGAACGCCCTGGTGCAATTGGGAGAACTGACACTGAGGGGCAAGGACTGGCTCTGACAGAACGTAGTGGAGAGATGAGGTCATCAGCACTGTGACTCCCAGAATGATTTCACCCACTGTGATCTGCTGCTGACCAGTGAGATCACTGTGTTTCAATTGATCTCACAATCAGGATGTAGAGTAGGAGGAGGGAATGAAGTAGTTCCCTTCCCTTCTCCTCCTCTCCCTCTCCTGGGCTTGGGAGGCCCAGCTCCTCCCCATTGCCGCCTAGTGAAGTGAGGACTCACCAGGCAGGGAAATCAGAGGAGGGAGCAGCAGGAGGAGCTGGAGTCCGGCTGGGGAGATCCTGGGGCTCTCAGCATTTTCTGCCCATGGGTGGAACAAGAACAGTGGCGGATGGGTAGAAGAGATGCCCAGCTGGGCATCCCCTGTTCACCTCCTCTCCTCGCTCAGCTGGCTCCCCAAACCCTATTTGGAAGAGGGGAATAGGGACAGACCCCTGACTGCCTTCCCTGCCCTGCAGGGGAGAGGGGATGAAGTAAAGTAGATCAATAATCTGTGATTGATAGAGACTCTGCTGAAATGTCCTGCTCTAAAGTACAAGACCTGTCACAGAAAGTATCACATTTCACCTGGTAGTATTCTGGCCCTGACAGATGGCCTGCTTGGCCATTGCCGTAAGTTAGAGCAGCTCTTGGGCTGAGAATACTTGGTGCATATAGTGTTCTGGCCCTACTCCGCTTTCCCATTTCCTTCAGCATGCCTCCCAAACCAGGAGTGCAAAGGTGTCTGGCATGGAGCCATTCCACCAGCTATTCACTGACTAGGAAAGCTTCTTACACTGGAGATGTTCCCCACGGTGGGAGATCCACTGCCCGCGAGCAAACGAGAATCAGGCCCACGTCCTCCCTAAGTCTTTGCCTGGACTAAGTCACAGAAAGAAGTGTTGATGACACACGTTCATCAGCACCTGCTGTAAGTGTACACGAGAAAGGGGAGCACAGCCTCGTGTCACTCCTCTGTTTGCTCCATTAACATCTGTAGAATATTAATAACAAACTCTGAAGCGTTGTTGATTTTCACTGTAATGATCAAACACTTGTCTGAACTATAGAGAATTTCCCCTTCAGCCTAGGGAAATCCCCCTGTGAACAGAGACAAAAATAGTTTTGTGTGGCCACATAGCTCCTGCTGCATACTGGGAAATGCCCTGAGAAAAACCCACAGAAAGTAACAGACAAAACTCAATCTCTTTGTTGCGGAAAGGTGTTGCCACAAGCATGACTGCTGCTATGACAAGGCAGAGCGGGAAGGCTGTAGCCCCAAGATGCTGAGATATGAATGGACTTGTGAACGCAATGCTGTGGTGTGCGGTAAGGAAATGACTCCACTTTCCTTGCGTGTTTTAGATTTATTCCATTCCCTTTACATTAGGAGCACAGACTGGCAGGAGCACTTCACATACCATAGATTTAACACTGCGTATGCTGAACTGGGTTTTAAACTCATTCAGGTCCCTTCTATTTAAATTCGTTTTGCTTGTGCCCTGCAAATGGAGCAGGAGCATTTAAAAAATATTTTCTAAAATATTTTCTATTTTCTAAATATTTTCTATTTTCATGATTCTCTCTCCGTGGTTTCAACTCCTCCCAAACTCCTTTAATCCCTTCCCTCCAGATCTTCAGCTATGGAGGGACTATCTTGATGTAGCTAGTCACGTTCAACCTCAAATGTGGGAGACGGGGGGAGTAGCTACATTCAGGTAAAAATACCTGTGCCTTGTCTCTACTTTGGTTTTACTTCTGGTTAGCTATCTTGATGTAAAAACACACCTATTTTTTGCTGTGAAAGAATAGCATAGCGTGGCTGTGAGACACAGCCATAAGTGCACTAAACACAGGTGTGAATGTTGTGTGAGGATGCACTGATTCATGGTCACGACACTCACACGACAAACATGAGTTAAATAGAACTGAGCTAACTCTATGGTAAGCCAAGGCAAGGCCGGTGACAGCCTCTGCTAGCCCTTCTCCAATGCAGCGGCTAGCAGCTGCCCTCCCTCACATAACCCCCAATGCAGATTAGCAATGCAAACACTGCATGCCTTCTCCAGTCAACTTCCCTAACCTAGAACACAGCAGTCCTTACTGGTCCAGGGAGGTGTTATGGCTGACTCAATACCAATAAAAGGGAAGAATGATTTAATGCCAGGAAATGCTGGAGAGGTTTATCTGAACAATGGAAATGGAAATTAAAAGTGGAGCTGTTTGCATTGCGCCATACTTGGGCTGTGGATAAATAAATCACTTGTTGTCAGCTGCTGAGTCATAAATACAAATATTTACAGAGGAACGAAATGGAAACTCCTTTTACAGTGGGACTTATTTTTTTCCCCTTTTGCTGCTACCGTGCAATTTTGTTTGCTGAACGAAAAATGGAGATACCATTTGCTTCCGTTCAAACATGCTTCAGAATGTGCTTTGTTCTGTCTTCTGCCCATCTGCATGTGAGAATCACATTCCGTAAACACTCAACATGTATGAAATACTGCACCCTGCGAGGCAGGCTCAAAGGTAGGAGTCCGCTCTCACGGCAATAAGTGCCAAACCAAACTGCTCTAAGCACAGTAAACTGAAGATGCTGGGCATGCTACAGAGAGAACTCGAGAGGGCAAGGCGAAAATAGAAAATTCTGAGGTGGGGCTCCCTCAGTCGTTCCTGCTGGTGTGGCACTCTGGATAACTGAAAGTCATTGGAGCCTGAGAGTGAGAGAGCCCAAGCATGAGAATGACTCTGTAGCCTGGTGGGCTAAGCATTCACCCAGGATACGGGAGACCCAGGCTCCAGCCTCCTACTCCAAGTACTCATTAAGTATTTATCTACAGTGGAAAAGTTTCAACAGCAGAGACTAAGGGAACACCCAGCCCCAACACAATAGTGCAGTAGTTAGAGCATTCATGTGAGAGGTTCAAATTCCTTCTCCTCATCAGATGGAAGGGGGACATAAACTGAGGGTCTCCCACATCCCCGATGAGTGCCCTAACCAGAGGACTAAAAGTTATGAGGGAGCTGCTCCCCATCCCCACTTCTTGCAAAAAATGCCTTATGTGTTCACCTCCAAAGAGGGTTCACAGCTGAGATTGGCTAGCAGAGATAGATGCCGATCTGCATGAGAGGGGCTTAGACAGCTTGTGGATCACATTCTAAGGCACCTATTTCTCTACATGCGTTGTATCGGGAGCCTGGGCGCCTAACTCAGGCTTTGGAGACTGCAATATGTTCCTGTGATTTTCTAGGTACCTAAAAGTTTGATGATGTGAACTGAATGTCACAGCACCTACATACCTTTGTGATTCTAGGCCTAAGTTTTTACTGAGTTTTATTCAAAGCCAGGAGAGCTCTGGAAGAAGAAGCAGGGTTCCACTCCTCCTTGAGCACCATCAATGGAATTGCTTACTAAGTTCCAATCAGTTACACCCGTGCAAACCTGTCAACAACAAAGGGGCTGTACAGGGGGCCACTGAAAGTCTAATTTCAGCTCCTTTATGACCAATTATGGTGTTTGTGTGAAGGAAAGAACTCAACTTGACTGTCAAATGCATGTTGAATTTCCAGGGCTGAGAGCTGAGAAAAACACTTTCTTGTAAATGGAGTCACCTTTCAGAACAGAAGCAAAGTTTAATATATGCAGCTTTTTGAGAAGTGGTGGAAGAAGAGGAGTAACAGCATTACAGATGCTTATAATAAGTACAAAGTGAAAGGCTGGTTTAAAAAAAAGATTTAGGTGCAAATTTTCAAAAAGGGTCACTGAATTTGGGTGAAAATTGAGGCGCTCAACCCTCTTGACCACTTAGGAAGATGTGTTGAACATGAATTCAGTGGGTATCACAAGGCGGGCACCGTTTTCTAGACACTGCCAATTTGCCGCTAGCTATTATTACTGTCTCATGCTCTTGATCTGATTTGAACTGTTCATTTTCTTTTTCAGATACACTGACAGATAGATGCCAAAAAATGGTGTGCCAATGTGACCAAGAAGCAGCCAAGTGTTGGGGCACGGCCTCTTATAACCCACACTACGTCCTCTGGCCAGATTTCTTATGTGGACAGACTACTCCCATGTGTAATTTTAGTTAGATATTGGGGGGCAAAACTAATCTTCCAGGGACATTTTTCTAATTTCTAAGATACTGTAATAAAATTGTTCATCTTTGATAAGACTGATAATGGTGTTAGAGAATTTCTGGCAGCATGGGGATGGGGAGAAGAAAAGGAATGGTTAGGCACCTCCTCGGTCTTTGGAATTAAGGATCAAAACCTGCCCCCCACCTCCATAGTTGAAGAGGGCCAAATGCATCTAATAGCGTACCACAGCAACTCCACACTGCAGTTGTAGATAGAAAGAAAAAGTGTCAACAGCAGCCACTGGCATGTAATCCTTTCACATTGCCTTACATTGAGCCCCTATACATTTTGGAAAGCATGGGAGTGCTCTGTTTGGCTGTCTTTAATTAATTCCCACTGATGGCTAAACTGTCCATCAAAGAACCAATGGCCCATTCAGGAAGTGCAGAAGTCATACTTTAAGTATGGGGGTCCTGGAGATGGGTAGATAGGCGTCCTCATTTTCTCTATCACAGAGTGCAAGCTGCCAAAGGGCATGGCCACTTCTCTTTGAAAAGGAATCTGGACTCCTGGCAGGAACCGTGGTCAGGGCAAGAACTGAACGTTTATCAGATTTTTGTCTCTCTGAAAGTCCTGACCGACAGTCTCTTCTTTTTGTCATCATCTAACTTCACACAGCTGAGAACACCTCTGAGAAGAACCTCAGAGGTGAGAAGAGAGTCACATTTTTCTTTTTCTGTTGTAGGGGCAGTAACCACTCATGGCTTCTACTTATAGGCTCATCAAATCCTGGACACACGAGAGTGTATAGTTCCACTACTCCACATTTAAGGCCCTGATCTGCTTCTGTCCTGTACAGATCTTAGCTTATCCCACTTTCTCTGCTGTATATGATGGTCATCAGAAATATTAAATCATGCAGCTGAGCTGAGGTTGTAGACAGCATTATTGATGTTAAAGCAATCAATTCCACCTCATTTAAAGTTTCTCATTTTACTCTTAGTTATGTCCTTTACTTTTGAGTCTCTATCCCACGTTTGAGTAGTAGCCCCAGAGAATGGACATGATGTCAGCTTAATCTCATCATCCAACATGAGACTGGGCGGAACTGCAATGTGGTAGGAGGCTAGTCATGAAGGTTTTAGCGGAGTGTGATAGCCTGGGTACCACAAGAGAGACCCAATTGTGTGACTGGAGCCTGCCCAGAGATGAGGGCCTGGGAATTTGTACCTGAGGTGAAAATGTGGTCTCTTTATGTGAGAGACCTCTAGGAGCGTCAGGGTGCATGTATAAAGGGTGAGATTTTCAAAAGTGCTCCACAGGGGCCTAACTCTGCTTCTATTGAAGTCAATGATGAAATGCCCATCGACTTCAATGGAAGTGAAGTTAGGCCAACGTCCAGCGCTTTTGAAAATCCCACAAAGAATCCCTACTGTGCTCCAGGGAACTCACTTGACCTCAGAGGACAGACCTTAACATGGGAGATCTCCTGGAGCCTCTGAAAAGCCCTTGGCTGAATTACTCCCAGGCTTTGTTGAAGGTTCAAACTCTATCTGGAATGTTTCTGGACCACTGTAAGAGTGTTAATGTTGCCTTTAATATTTTATTTTGGTAGAGGCTTGAAATCCCTTTGTTTTCTGCCTAATAAGTCCTCTGGGTGTGTAAAATCAACCCTCAAGAGTACTTCAATTCCTTTGGCCAGGGTACTGTAAAATGGCTCTTCCTCTACCTTTACATTTCTTCATTATAAGAGCTTGCCATGACAAGTCAACAGAACAAGGTAAACTATACTGGGTGGTGCTGATAGGTTAGAACATTGACTTTCCTTGATCCCCTGGAAAGAATGGATTCAGAACAAATAATATGAGTTTTATAGGGTACTAGTTAGCAATTGGTGGGACTGAGTATTTCACTCATCCATCAGTCTCTGTTGAAACAGGTGGTAGGTTTTATGCAAGAATGTTGTAGCTGACAATGCTAGGGCACTACCTTTTAAAACAAGGAACAATGCCAGGAAAGATCCAGGGTGATGCATAAGAAATATACCCATTCTTCCAAGATACGTAGTCGAGTTAACAAGGACTGTAGCTAATAATAAGGTTAACCTCTTACAAAAGGCTGTTTTGGTCTATGCCAGTGGTTCTCAACCAGGGCCCTGGGGGGCCACGAGCAGGTTTCAGGGGGTCCGGCAAGCAGGGCAGCATTAGACTTGCTGGGGCCCAGGGCAGAAAATCAAAGCCCAACTGCATGGGGCTGAAGCCCGGGGCCCTGAGCCCTGCCACCTGGGACTGAAGCCGAAGCCTGAGCAGTGTAGCTTTGTGGGGGCCCCTGTGGCGTGGGACCCCAGGCAATTGCCCTGCTTGCTCCTCCCTAATACCAGCCTTGGCTTTTATATGCAGAAAACCAGTCGTTGTGACACAGTGGGCTGTGGAGTTTTTCTAGCATGTTGGGGGGAAAGAAAAAGGTTGAGAACCCCGGGTGCGTGCTATATGAGGACCTTGACCACACTACTGTGTACGTAAAGGCAACAGTAAAGAGTCAGCATGTTCGGAAAGCAGGAATGTGCGCTGAGGCAAACATTTTTATTATCGCTATAGACAGCACACATGGATAGCTCAAAACCCTGCCCCTTTTGGTTCACAGAATGTGACACTTTATGACACACATGCAAGAAACTGTTTAGTCTTCTGGTATTTTCTGCAACCATGCAGTTCAAGCTATGATGTGCAGGAAGGAAGGGAGAACAAATGAGTGATGCGGATATAATACAACACAACCAAGTATCCTACAACCGCTAGACTGTCATAGGCATCGTAGAAGCAAATGCATTTGTGAAGTCTACCCATTCATGTGGTTTGGAAGGCAAAGTCTTGAAGCAAAAGAGGCTACCACTTGGGGAGCTATTCCTAGAATCAGACAGAAGACTTAGGCAGTCAAGGTGGTAATTAATACTCAATGGAGTGGAATGAAACAGAGCAGTGTGCTGACTGCAAGCCCTTTCTAGGACTGGTCATCAGGTGGCAGCACTGCTTTAGAGGAAAAGGGGTGTGGGTGTGTGTGCATGTGTTTGCGGAAGAGGTACATGAGTGTGTGCACACATTGCTTTGGAGTAAATGGGGTGGCGGGTGTGTGGCCATGGCCAGATTTTTGAAGTGCTCAGAATCAACAATTGGGCCAGATTTTCAAAAGAGCTCGGCTCCCATTTGGCCAAATAAATAAGACTTTCAAAGGTGTTCAGCTCCCATTATGACACTTAGCTAAGCACTTTTGAAAAATCTGGCACTTCATTTGTCACCTAAATGGGAGTTAGCAGCTTTGAAAATTTGGCCCACTGTACCGCTGCGATCTTTTGCAGCCACTGGGAGAAAATCTATGTAAGGTCTTAAGTGGTTCAGACTGAAGGGGCAGGGGAAGAGATCGAAGACAACTCAGTATTTCTGAATGGTCTGTGTCTGTTCAACATGTATCTTTGTGTGGGAGTTTGTGGGCAAGGCGATCCTTCCAAGTTTTTTGTAGGTGAATGATGTGCTATGTCCACTCAGGCTGTTACATCCAGGATTGTCTGAAAAACAGACACAGACTTACATCTGTCTTTGTCACTGGATTTCATCAGGACTGTCCAGCTATCCTGTTCCTTGCATGATCCCTGCCCAATCTGGGACAACTAAGTGGCTTAATCTACAGAAGTTCTAAAGCTACTTGGGACACATGTAACATGTTGTCTGTGTTTTATGAGAAGCTCATATTTTCTTAGTAACTGATCCGAGAATTCACTGTCTCCTCCATACCTTGGTGAGGTGCTTGTTTTACGCACAGGAGACACTTCCTCAACCGAGGAGTTAGAACTATAATCAGAACCACCAAGCCTCCTATACCGGCTACCACAACCCCAATGATTGTTCCAATGGATTCTTCTATGCCAAACAACCCTGAGGAAAGAGGCACAGTGACACAAGACATATTACATGGAGCTATATGCCATGTAGGATAGTACACAGGAGAAGTTACTGGTTTCTACAGTATCTTGCCAAGGCATGCCTACTGTGATACAGATTCTACGGATTTCTTGATGGGCAAGAAACTGCAAGTCTCTACAGCAGAGAGAGTATAGTCCGCTGCAGATCATGTGGATTTATTTCAGCATAGGCAGGAAGCAGCAATACACTATGGGGACTGGAGACAGTGTGTTGCACTGCACTGCACACTGATTTGTTTCAGTACAGGGCTGTGGGCTGTACTATGCTGTGAGGTGATAGTGAATTATGAATCAGGCTGCATTTATAGGGATTTCCCCTGTATTCTTCATGCACTCATAGGGTATGAGCAAACAGTAAAGAATACCTTGCAATATTCTGAGTATTGTAACTTTTCTGCAACTTTGCAAAGGAGACAGCACCAAAGGGGGGTAAGATCTGAAGACATTTTTTTTTTCACTGGGACATGGGGGCATCCACCACCACTTGGCTGGGAGGTAGAGATGTGACAGTTCCACATTCTTTGAGATCATTACATCCTGAGGTTCTGGGTCAGAATTCACTGGAATGGAATATTGCTTGGGGGACATAGAAGGTCTCTGATCTGGGGCGGGTGGTAGAATAGAGAAACAGCAAGAGGAAGTATGTCTTTAGAAAGAAGGAAGTGAATGGGAGAACAGGTCAGGGATCAGCAGGGTGTGGCCAGACCAGACTTAAAATGGCTGCCACTATGTGATAGTCATGGTTAGGGACATTTTATCTGTACATCTGAAATGCAATAATTTCCCCAACGAAACTGCCAGATTGATGCACAATCAGATGTAGGTCAGGTATTCATTACATCCCTGTTTGCTGATAAATTTACCATGCACTAGAAAATGTGGATAACATTGTTCACTGTGATGGCTGCAGGACAGATACTGAGGTCCTTACTCAGTTTTTAATAAGTCCTCAGTTAGGAAAGCTCCCACTGGCATCAATGGGAGTTGTCTGAGTAAAAAAAAACTAGACCTCAGAGTTTGGCCATGATTCATCATTTCTTAAGTTAATTCCATTGACCCACTCATCTGCTTAAAATTAAG